AAATTCATTTTTTGTAAATATAAAAAATTCATTCAAATATAAAGCTGAAATTGAATTTGTTTTATTAAAGTAATTTGAGAATGCTTCATAACTTTTTCTTATTTTTCAGATTTGTTTTCAGATATAATTTATGAAATAATTAACTAATTCTCATAAAAAATTTGTATGTACATTATGTGTGATATCTTTGAATATCAAGAATTGCTTTACACATTGTTTATTGGATTTAAATATATAAAAATTATACTAATTCTGAAGCTTTAAATTATTTACATTAATGTAAATTATTTATTAACTTAATTTATATTTATTACTGTATTTCAAAATATATGATATGAAAATTTCTATATGTATGAAACATCTAAGTTGGATTCTGTATACAAGTTAATTTGTCTTTTTCATGAATATTGTTTTTTCTGTGTGTTAAACTGTTTGTATATTTATAGTTTTCTTAAGATAATATTTGAAAACAACATAATAAATTTTAGGATACTATTGAGTTATATGTAATGATAAACAGTTCTTCCAAATCTCTTAGAAATTTTTCAGAATTAAAATACGAAGATGTGCATATTATATATTTATAATTGGGTTTAACATTAATTTTTTTGAAATTATTCATATTTGTCATTAACTACAGAAATTAAATGTTTTTTATGCATTATTTGATATCTTTTTATGTTAATTTAAAATATTTCAATATGGATGAATTTCCTGAAACATATTTGGTTGATTTTATTTTTTTTATAACTGCTATGTTGATTTTGGATAAGAAAAAAAAGACTAATTATGATGAGGTTAATTTTTATTCTGCTAAAATATTTTTGATGATGTGCTATCCTCAGAATAATCTCTTAGATAAGTAAGTAACAAGTTTGGCTATATGTTTTAGTTGTCTAATATATGCAAATGATAGGTTGTTAGTTTCATAGGTTCCTATATCTTAATGACAAATTTTGTTCTTGTTAACATTGATCAACATATAGTAAAGTAAATATATTAATATATAATAATAGCAGAAAAACTCAATAGAGTACAGTACTAAAAACTTCAAAAACAAAAGCATTTGAAGTATTTTTGAATAGTTAAAAAAATTTCAAATGGCCTTTTTTAGGTTTCATTATTGTGATAAATTTTGATAAGTTATCTTATTTTTGAATCAGTGCATTCTGTTGTCAATAATTACAAAATACTGTAAAATAATGCTACTACTATTACTATTATTTTTTAGCAAAACAGAAATAGAAATTTCTGAAAGATTATTATTCATTTTAATAATTTGATGAAAAAGTACAAAATTTAAAATTATAAATTAAAATTCTGTAATAGCTGACAGTAATNATGGACAGTTGACATTGTGCTCTGGAGGAAACAATTTGTATCACTCTTGCTACGGATATAATTTGTAATCTGGAATTTTTTGCATACCTTTTTAATATGTATTTAATTGCAGCTCGCGAAAAATTTCAAATTTTGAAAAATGGCTCGGACTATCAAGGAGCTTGGCCCTGGGTCTAGTCTAACAGACAAAGTAATTCCGACGGAACATAACTAGAACTGTTGAAACTGATCTGAGTGAGTAACTGTTCCGTCAGAACAGTAACTCTCACTCGGATCAATTTTATCAGTTCCAGTTCTAGTTCCAGTTCAAGAGGTTTGCACTTAATAATATTTAATACAAACGAGAGCTAGTTGCCAAATTTAGCCGCATAAATTTTTGTTAATACAATATATGTTTTTCTGTTATAACATTGTCTAACTTTGTAGAAATATTTTTATTTTAGTCAGACAAAATGAGATGAGGAAGCAGGGCTGTGGAGTCGGAGTCGGAGTAGTGGAGTTTTGGTGTTTTGGCCGGAGTCGGAGTCGGAGTCGTCAAAAAATCCGCCGACTCCGACTCTCTTTTTACTTACCAACTTGTTATGTACTGTATATGAAACGGAGTCGGAGTCGGTAGATTTTTACGCGACTCCACAGCCCTGTGAGGAAGGGATAAATTTTTTTATAAACTCTCACTATAACAATAAATCCTTCTTTAACGATATTTTTCTTGTTTCGCTAAATATCGCTATAGAGCAGAACTCCCGCAACCAGTGTACCTGAGATGATGCAAATGCCTCCAAGAGGAAGAAAAGCACAGAGTTTATGATGGGCATCTGAATATGGTAGATATAGCCTGATTAAAAAGTGACGGTGATCACTTTTGAAACTTGTTAGAATTCCTTCTATCACAAACGTTAGTGACAATAAACATGTAATAGACAGCTATTATATGTTTATTGTCACTAACGTTTGTGATAGAAGGAATTCTAACAAGTTTCAAAAACTTTGCAGTCATATTTCACAGAATACGTCACGCGTTTACTCACAAACTCGTCTTTAAACGGTAAGAGTCGTATTTCACAGAATTTGTGCACGTGTAAATTTGGTGAGTCGCGCGTTACAGTCGCCATCTTAATTTTTCTGAGGCGACAAGTTGATGATGTCGCTATCTCCTGCACCTACGATCACGGAGTCGAGGTCCCGATCATGTGATTTTCATACTAGGACTGCGTGATACTGTATTCAGGATGGTTTCTGGGTTGTTATAAATTATTTCGATTTTCTTATTAAGTTCTGTTTATCGTAATTATAATAGAAATCTAAAATAATTAAAGTTATTATAACTATTAGAAGAAGATTTGTTTCATTTTCAAAAACTTCGTGTCTCGTTTCGAAAGTTCTAATTAACTCAGTAGCATAGGGATCATTCATTAATTACGTGTAGTTTTTTAGTCATATTTGACCTTCTCCCTCCTTGTTGTGTAAACAATGCACTTTTGGCAAATTCCTTTCCCTTTATTTTCATGGATCTCCTTGACATTCAAGTAACGATTTTAAGAGTTCTGCAAATGTTTTCTGGTAATTTATTCACATGACCGGAGAAGCCTGAACTTATAACTTCGTATGCCTCTCCAGTCCCATTGGGTACAAACTGTCGGATGGCCAAGCGGTCAACCCGCTCTGCCATCCGACTCTGCTACCGCTCTGGGGGGACCAGGGTCGAAAAATCCCAGGAACCGATGGAACTAACTCCTTTTCGGAGGTGGTCCGTCCGGATATATCGGGCTTAGTCCCTCAACACCTAGCCACCCCATTGTGGGCCTGGTCGAACCCATAATGGGCTTGCTAAAAGAGGCCCTCCTAGTGCCCACAGGGCGGAAAGAGTTAAATAAAAGTCCCATTATGTACAGTACAATGATGTAGCAGCGGCGTACCGTGGGTGTCAGCCGCCCGGGGCGGAGGAAAATTTCGGCCCCCCTTATTTAGGTATTTCAATTTAAAAGACCAAACTTCAGGTTTGTCACAGAACAAGCAATGAAAAATTCGGTGGTAGTGCAGCGACCTGTTTAAAATAGTTCTATTGGATATTAGTGGTGTATATGAACGCAAATGAATCGTACGAGCAAAAAAAAAAGGTCAACAGGTTTCGCAGGAAATCCGCGGATGAAAAAGTTACTAGTTAACCCGGCCGATTCCCGGACTGTCCGAACGATAGCACTATCGTAGGCGCGATGCAAGTATAGATTAGGATGTTTCAAATTTTTACAAGATATTATTATTATTTTTTGTGAAATTTTGCCGCCGCGTAAAAAGTGCCGCCCCACTGCGGTACGCCACTGTGATGTAGCTTACATTTCACGCCTGTTCCTTCTTTAAACTGTATACTGTACATAATTAATGGACGACCCATAAGAAGATCTTGCATATACGTTAAAGTGTTAATGATGTAAGATAAAAAACTTATTTTTTGTCGGACTACACAAATACTGTAATGCAACGCACCCCAAAGTTCTATAGCCTACTCTACTAGCAAATTCAGATTTCCAAATCAAAGAAAAGAATAAAGATAGAAATTTGCTGAAGAAAAATAATGATTTATCAAAAAATAAATTTGCCTAAGAAAACGCTGATGTAAAAAATTCATCTATCACTATTATAATCATAATTTTCTGAGAATTCTTTACATTCTTTCCGAAATTATAATTTTTCTAGATTTCATTTCAAAAATCGAATTTAACGCATTTATTTTTGAATCCTATTTTATATCTTTCAATAAGAATTTCTTACCATATTACAGTATATATGAAGTTACCGACGGGAGAGAAAAGAAAAGGTGCCGACGGAAAAGGTTCCTCTTCTTCTCCAGATGGAGGGCGAGTGTAATGCTGGTGTGGTTGTTGACATTGAGACAGTCACTTTTACAAAAGATGATGCTTACGCAATTCCGGCCAAGAACTTCTCTAAGACGAAAGCAAAACGTTGAAAGTTCAGTCTATAGTTCACCGTCGTCAGTTATCAAACGGAGATCTGATGTCCAACGGTGATCGGACGGCCCGAGGCAAACTGATTGCAAGTCGGACATGGTTATCGGTGGAACAAAGATGAAGTGACCTAAGACAAGCGGGACACCGACACAGAGGACAAACAGGTTGAGCGAAGGAGAAGCGACTATACTTCGTTCTTGAATTTCGGGGTTTTGAGGGATTTATCCCCGAAATTCTTACTTTGATTGGTCCCGATTTTCTCTCTCCCTCTTCCGATTGGCTCCTTTCCTGTTTCCAGGTAGAATTAAATGACCAGATGGGCCGCGAGAAAGATCGCTCTCCGTTAATCAATTTGACACTTTCGTTCGACTTCGTCCGCCAGTGTTGATAGAACTTTGAAACTTTCGCTCGTATCTCACGCGATAATGTTTTCTTTTCCGACACCTAAAAAATTTTTTTTATCTTTATTAATTACAACGCGATAATTTTACTTTTAAAGAAATGTTACATCTCGTTTATTTCCAAACTTTGTCATGTCTACGAGCGCCAGAGTCAAAGCTCGATTTTCACGATTAACATTCTAAACATTCCAATCCGTTAGTTCGCGTGGAGAATTCTATTTTTCCATTTCTCGGGTAGCTTTTCTTTGCGCTCTATATAAAATTAAATTTACTAATAATGAAAAAATAATGCAAAAATATCTATCCATTTAAAATTGATTAATATAAATGTTAAATTTTATTAACTACATCTTTTTATAATTTTGTTTCTAATATTTAACGCGGAACAGTGCATCATCCCATAGATACCTATTGTAAATTCGGCCAGACTCCAATGGGGACGGCGGATGACAGGGTCTTTCCGACATTATCGGGTGAAATCAGTTTTTGAATTAAAGCCGAAATAGCAGATTTAATAATTTACAACAGTTAAATATTTTAAATATTTCACAATAAAATAAAAATCAAACAGAAGACGTTTCTTTATTTATAAACAATTTTGAAGTAATGTTAGTTTATCCGGTAGAGGACTCAAGTTACCACACCGATTTTCTTCTGCTCGAAGCGTGTAAACCGTAGAGTTAATTCGTAAACAAAAAGAAGTCAGTAGATTCTATCGTAAAATAAAAATGGATGTTAATATCTTAAACGTGGCCAAACTGATATTCAATGACGTTTCATCAAGGTTTTTTAAAGAGACACCAATTACAGCCGAAGAAATTGAATTGAAAGATCGTATAGTAGGTATGCTTTTAATATATTTAACTGTCAACTTTATCGGTATTTTGTTTGCTTGAATTATCTTTATAAAGTTAACAATTTTCATTTTTTTTGTAGAAGTTATCGAGAGTTACGTGAAATCGACACCTATTTTCATTAAATGCGATCCAGATTTGGAGATGATAAAGCAGGAATCTGATATAGAGGTGGGAAAGGAGGGAAATCTTGATCTGAATGAGAGTGAAAATGAAATTGAGAGTTTTGAGGAGTCGTCGGGGGAGGAGAGTCCAGATTATCATATACCAAGTCCCGATGGAAAACAGAGAATGGAAGTTTCCTTCGACGACAAAAAACGTGCTGTCGAATATTGGTTGAGTGGGAAGAAGGGTAGATTGCATTGGCGGACTGTGGCCAATACTTTTCGTTTTGTAAAATCTCCTCGACAACTCTATCGCTTTAAAAAACAGATTGATAGAAGAGGATCGAAAGAACATAAAATGAGAATTTTATGGAATTATACTCTTAATAAATTAAAATTGGCAAAAGAACAGAATATGAATATTGGCGATACCGATCTGAGAAAATGGGCTCTTGACAAAAATCTTGAGGTTCAGTTAGATACTTTTAAAGCTTCGAGGAGTTGGATCCAAAAGTTGAAAAGGCATTACAGAAATTTCTCTCGAGAAGAAAATTTTCAGTAATGCATTGTTAAAAGTATGGTAAATTTAAATTGTTGGTAAATAAAAAAATGATAAATATTAAGTGTCAATAACAGATGCTAAAATATTTAATGAACACAATAATTTAAATATATGGACAAATAAATCTGTCTATATGTTTTTAAAATAATCTGTTATCATCTGGGATGGAAGATTTTCATTGAATTCAAAAGTATCATATGGATATGAATTCAAACATTAATACACTAAGTGAAACTAAAAATGTAAACAAAATGAATATAGATATTGAAAATATTTTTTTCTAAATATTAATCTTTTAGATAATTATGATGCATAAGGTGGGTACTCTCATTAGTTTCCACATCTTACAACAACATTAACTGAAAAATCAAATAAAAGGGACTATTATCAGCTAACCAAAGTTTGATAACAAATCACTATAATGAAATAAATTCTGGAGGAAAGTATAAGAATCAAGAAAATACTTTTAACAATTTACATCAATCTGTTTGATGTATTTTTCAGAATTGGAAGTATTCATCTTTTATATATTTTTAAATTCATTCAATGATACTGTGCAAAACTTAATAAAATTTTCTACAGCATTTTTGAAGCTATGATATTTAATTTATCAAAATATATCTATTAAATAGAAAATGTACCATATATAATACTATATCATATTGAAATAGTTTTTTTTTTTAAATACTTATAATATAAATTTATTTTTTAATTCTCTATATTTATTGTGTTTATATTAATATTTTTTTTGTTTAATTATTTCAATATTTCAGAAGTTATCAAAATTTAATTTTTTCTTTTACGTCAACAGATTTGATGATATTTTTTCTAATTAAAAAATTTATTCAAAACATTAAGAAATCAGTACTTTTAAATAAGGAATAGCATTAGAATAAATTTTTAAAATAGAATAAAATCTGGACTATTTTTATGTAATATCTGTTATATTTAAATTGTAGACTACAAAAAATATTTTATTGTTTCATTCAAATTATATTTCTGATATAGTTACATCAAACTTTGGGTAGATGATAGTATAAAATAAAATTATGTAAGAATTATAACATTTGTATATAATATTAAATAGGTATAAAAGCAAAAATTTATATTTAAACAGTTTACTTCAAAAATCTTTTGGAGTTAACTTTTTATATAAAATTTTTAAAATAATATATTAAGGAATGTATGCAGTTTGACTTTATGATTGCTATTTTTATTTCTTGGTAGATTTAAAACATTTTCAAACTTAATTTTATGGGATTTACTTTAAAATCAAACTTTTATTGAAAGGTTCATAATGAAATTTCTACAAATGAAGTAAATTTAAGTTGATAAAATTTCTCTTTCATTTATCTGGATATCTTTTTGATAAAATAGCAATCATAATTATTGATAATGGTTTTTCAGTATTGTTTAATAGTCGGAATTATGTTAAAATATGCCACTACGAAAAATGTTTAAATGTTTCAAAATACTATAAATAAATTATAAGAATTGGCAGTTATATGCAGTTTGTGATGTTGATTTGGTAAGATGATTACTTGAGTGCTTCACATATTATTTTTATATTTGTTTTGTTGTCATTATGTCTTTAATGATAAGGTTTTGGATATTTGTTTTCTAAATATGAAACATTAATAATCTAAGTTTTTCAACTGATATCCATTAAGAATATCTCATTGTTCATACTTAACTGTTTACAGTTTCATTTATATATGATATACAATTATGATTTTAGTAACAACTGACAGATTTTCTTATCATTATTATACTGTAGAGATTAATTCTATTTATTCATTCAGAGGTAGTACAAAGTTAATTTAAACTATTTTATTAATTTGTAAAAGATTAAATACTTAATTTATTTAGTTTAATAAATGTTGTTATTAAATTATTATTATTTTATATAGTTATGTTATATTTGTATATTCAATATTATTATTACTTGTTTATAATGATATTATTTAAAAATAGTTTAAAATTATGACTATTTTACTATTTATTTATGTAAGATATTTCTCATTTCAAACTTGTAATTAGTTTATTCTAACACAACTGAAATGATTTATTTCATGTTGTGATGAATTGTTCCTAGTAGTTTTTCTTTAATAAGAATATATTCATAGTTAATTTAAAAACAGAAATAAAACTTACTTATTTGAATATAATGAAATAATACCATTTGTGTTAGATTAGATATGTATATAAAGTTAACAAATATATTTTTTAGAATTTCCCAAGTAAATGATTTTTCTTGTTCTTAGTAAAATACTGAGAATCTAAGATATTTTTTGTTGTAAATTATGATGAATAATACAATAATAATTTAATTAATTTTTACTATTGGAGTTTAAATATCAGTGTAAATAGATCAGATGTCATTCATTGTTTTGAATAGTTTTTTCAGTATCAACAAAAGTATATTTAAAATAAATGTTGACAAAGTGCATCAACTTCAATACAAATTCATTTTTTGTAAATATAAAAAATTCATTCAAATATAAAGCTGAAATTGAATTTGTTTTATTAAAGTAATTTGAGAATGCTTCATAACTTTTTCTTATTTTTCAGATTTGTTTTCAGATATAATTTATGAAATAATTAACTAATTCTCATAAAAAATTTGTATGTACATTATGTGTGATATCTTTGAATATCAAGAATTGCTTTACACATTGTTTATTGGATTTAAATATATAAAAATTATACTAATTCTGAAGCTTTAAATTATTTACATTAATGTAAATTATTTATTAACTTAATTTATATTTATTACTGTATTTCAAAATATATGATATGAAAATTTCTATATGTATGAAACATCTAAGTTGGATTCTGTATACAAGTTAATTTGTCTTTTTCATGAATATTGTTTTTTCTGTGTGTTAAACTGTTTGTATATTTATAGTTTTCTTAAGATAATATTTGAAAACAACATAATAAATTTTAGGATACTATTGAGTTATATGTAATGATAAACAGTTCTTCCAAATCTCTTAGAAATTTTTCAGAATTAAAATACGAAGATGTGCATATTATATATTTATAATTGGGTTTAACATTAATTTTTTTGAAATTATTCATATTTGTCATTAACTACAGAAATTAAATGTTTTTTATGCATTATTTGATATCTTTTTATGTTAATTTAAAATATTTCAATATGGATGAATTTCCTGAAACATATTTGGTTGATTTTATTTTTTTTATAACTGCTATGTTGATTTTGGATAAGAAAAAAAAGACTAATTATGATGAGGTTAATTTTTATTCTGCTAAAATATTTTTGATGATGTGCTATCCTCAGAATAATCTCTTAGATAAGTAAGTAACAAGTTTGGCTATATGTTTTAGTTGTCTAATATATGCAAATGATAGGTTGTTAGTTTCATAGGTTCCTATATCTTAATGACAAATTTTGTTCTTGTTAACATTGATCAACATATAGTAAAGTAAATATATTAATATATAATAATAGCAGAAAAACTCAATAGAGTACAGTACTAAAAACTTCAAAAACAAAAGCATTTGAAGTATTTTTGAATAGTTAAAAAAATTTCAAATGGCCTTTTTTAGGTTTCATTATTGTGATAAATTTTGATAAGTTATCTTATTTTTGAATCAGTGCATTCTGTTGTCAATAATTACAAAATACTGTAAAATAATGCTACTACTATTACTATTATTTTTTAGCAAAACAGAAATAGAAATTTCTGAAAGATTATTATTCATTTTAATAATTTGATGAAAAAGTACAAAATTTAAAATTATAAATTAAAATTCTGTAATAGCTGACAGTAATTTCTTTTAGTATTTCATAAAATAAATGATAAGCATATCTTGGATATCAAGTATTTAAGTATTAACTTAATATCAATACTATGTACAGTACATATTTTTAAATTTGTAAAGGGATTTAAATTAAAGATGTTTTGTAATATCACTTTGATTCTTAATAATGAAGGATAAATATAAAATATTTTCATTTCTGAATTTTGTTTTTGATGAAATAAGTTTATTTATATATTTATCAAATCTTAAAGTTCATTAGTAGCTTTATATATATATAATTATTAAACTACAAAGCAGTTATTATAATCTGAATAAACGTGCTTCACATACAACAAATATAATATATAAATTTTACTGATTTTATTATAATTGCCACAAAAGGTTTGTTAACACTGCTAGTTTGATGAGGTCTAACATTTGTATAAGAGTTCATACAAACAGCCATTTGTTTTCTTTACTGGTTATAATTTCAAGAATATTTCTGATTATTCTAGACAAAAGCTAATACTAAAACAGAACCATCATTTACCTTATTATTTGAAAACTTGTTTATTGGCATTTAATACTGTATGTATAGAATATTTTGATTGAAGTTTTTGAAAATTGGAAATTATATAAGTGATAATATTTTGTTATATTATGTATTCAATAAATATATTTGTTGATGTTATTTAGATTTTCCTTAATAGCTTCTGTTTGCTATGTAATATTGATGAAAAGTTTTCAAAAATATCTTTTTACTTATTTTTAATAAAAATAAAAAAAAATAGTTATCACTTAATGCCAATGAAAAAAAAAGAAATAAAAGAAAAAATAACAATTGAACTCAACTGATACTTCAAAACTTAATATTTAAATATTAATTTTTTCCAATACTAATAAATTGTAAAGCTTTTTTGTAAGATTTAATATGTTTAGTTAAAATATATTGTATTTTGTCATATGCATTGTTACATTATTAAATTCATTTGAATAAAACTAATTTGTGAATATTAATAAATAAATAAATAAATAAATTTAATAATTTACACATCGTTACTCAATAACATTTAACATCATTTGCAATGGGAGAATTGTGTACATGAATGTGAGGATTCGAGTCCAGACTTTCCGTCTGTTTATATTATTGCATCATAAGATCACATTGTAGCCATACTTTCATTCAATAACTGTCAACTTTTACACCTGGGAGCTAAACATCTAAGTTCTCAGGCTTAATAAAGACGCTTTCTCAGCACCTTTCGACCTAATATCTCGATTTCAACAATACATACAACCTTAGGACAGAACAACAAAGTAGCAGTCGTCACCAGTTCCTCGAGCGAACCACTCAAGTTTTCCCTGTGCTAAAATATTTGGATATTTCCTCGCCTTTGCATACCTCATCGCCTAATAACTAGTTACCTAAGAACTGTGGAAATAAGAACTGTCTTCTTTTGTGTCCGACTGACGTGCAGAAGATCAAGATTTCATGCAAGGTATTTTTCGCCACGCGAAACTTATGTAAACTCTCTCTCTCTCTCTCGAGAACCGTGGAACTGTAACAGAAATCTTAAATCTAATTTAATGTCTATTTTATATCTATTGTAGCCAAGATTCCTAAAAACTAGCCTAGTTAAAATCGATATCTTTTATATCCTGTATGGCCTATAGTTATCAATTAAACCGTTGTTACGTTAAAGCGTCTCTGAGTAAGTTCGCTCACACGTCCGAACGAAACGGTTTGTGTCTAGCCGTGAAGACAGTGTCAGTCCTGACGAAACTTGTCATTGCGATCTTCGCCGACGCGGTGTCGACCCTTCGGTCACGTGGTGCCGAAGTATAGGGAGGCCCTTCGGCATTGT